CTCCTTGTGTTTGGTACATTACACTTACTCATCCCCAGTGGGCTGGCTAGGGAGCCCCTCCCCGAACAAGCCAGTACTTCAAAGCCTGCTTCAAGATGTGCAAGAGAAATAGAGACCCTCTTGCTCCAAATGCCTCTGCACAAGTGGAAACTTATCCAGCTTAATAGAGAGCAATGCTATGCCGGAAGCAGGCAAGCAGGAAGATGAGCTTAAATGCTGGGCATGTGATCAGCAAGCCAGTGCCTCTGCGGAGAGGCCTCTGTGTCCTCTACTTTGTAAGGGCTCGAAAATGGAAACGGGGCCGGCGGGGGTGGGGGGGGGGGAGTTCCAAAATTCAAGAAGGAGCTTGCTCACTTTACGACTAACTGATTCTGTTTCTCTGACTGTGAAACACACAAGAGAAAACCCCTAGAGAAACTCGGCTGTGTACACAGAGCTGGTTGAGAGGAATTTGCAGAAATCATTTTTCCCCTAAATAATTATTAGCTAAACATGTGCAACCAAACGGCAAGAAAAAGAAAATCATGGTAATTGTATTTCTTACTACCTGGGGCTATACAGTAATTATGCAAATGGAAGGGAATTTGTCACTTTGAATAACCATAAGTGTGTAAAATAATTTGATTAAGTAAAATACGATTGCCTTAGTCATCACACTAATTTGACAAGGACTTTAAAAATGTCTCTCAGCTGTCTGCTTCTGGGTAAGAGATGCAAAAACCCATCTTCAAAATGATGCTTCTTTAGGGAGAGGGAAAAAAAAGAAAAAAGTAACAAATCCAGCAGTTTCACCTTACAAGTAATTGCAAACCACTGAACGCTCTCAGGCCTAAAAATTTTTAAAGTGACTATAAATCAGTCAGATGGGAGTTCTGTTACATGCACTCAGTCACCCGGCTACTTATTTTGTCGCAACAACCTCAGACTTAGTGTTTGCAAAGCTCTAAACAGGGGTATGCCCCCCCCCACCGGGTCCTAGGTACTGTCTAGGGGTCTAGGCACCCCACCCTGGAGCTCAACAGGCCTTTTCAAGTTTGCATCCAGAGGAAATTCAAATGCATTTGAACGTGAGCCTCGATCCTAACTGCCCAGAGGTGTCTGGAGGTTTGAATTCCCTGTACACATCCTTATCGACTCCAGTCCTTGGTGATTTGATAACTCACATGAACCTCTATACGCACGGCTACCCTCCGTGAATGGCTTGAGGCATCACCAGGCGTCTCCACACAACACCATGAAGTACATACAAAATAACTTTCTCTCCCTGCAGTTCCCATAGGCCTATGCCTTCTCCAAGGGGCCAAGATTTAAGCAGATGTTACATTCTTGCAAGGTCAGTTCAGACTGGAGCCACCCAAAGGAAAGACCCAGGTGAAGGAAAATTGCATTCTTGACCCAGTACACCATGCCGATCATGCTGGATGGATCCCTCTTCTTATGCTCAGCAAAATAAGTCATAGCCGCTCAGGTAGTTTAAGGGACTAAGAGAAAACATCCCTGTGACATTGGCTTATGTGAAGCATGACGTCCAATTAAAACACTTGCAAGTGTATAAGATTTCAGAATCCACAGCTAGCCTGGGGTTTGCATGATCACCTTTATCTCTCCTATCACAGAGTCTGGGTGTCAGGGTCAATAACCTTCAGTATTGCCCTGGGAGACACCCCCCCCCCCCCACACACACACACACATGGAAGCACAAAGTTGCTGGTCCCCTGCCCAGCTTAACAATCAGTGTTTGTCTCATACACAAGTCTCTCTTGAGTTTCCTCCCTGGGCAGGTTCTTGAGGGAAATCACACACACACACACACACACACACACACACACACACACACACACACACACAGAGTCCTGCTTTACAAAGTTGCTTCTCAAATCACAGGCAACTTCCTGCTTCAGTTCTGCAGTTGGGAAGCCTACGCCAGTGTCACTGAAGACACCGGGCAAGCCCTTTTCAGAAAGTAAAGGGAGAAATGAAATGAAGCCTCTAAATATAAAACACGGCATCTGGGGAGACAAAATAATAAACTAGCTGTATGGACTACTAGTGGGATCAAATAGATTGAAACAATGTCGCGGGCATAGAACTTTCAATAACCCCCCCTCGCCATCAAAGGGAGCACTGTTGGCCGTGTCCCACGGTGTGCCCTTCGTCAGGTGTCTGAAAATGCTTCATCAGAGGGGCAGGCTGATGGCCAATGCACAGATCATATATAACACACCTTGCCCGTATGTATAATCACCTACAAAAGCAGGCTCTCGGGTTTCTTATTAAGCAAGCCGTGATGAAAAAAAGGGAGAAGTGTGGGGCGCCTGGGTGGCTTAGTCGGTTAGGCGTCTGACTTTCGCTTGGGTCATGATCTCACGGTTCGTGGGTTCGAGCCCCGCGTCGGGCTCTGTGCTGACTGCCAGCTCAGAGCCTGGAGCCTGTTTCAGTCTGTGACTCCCTCTCTCTCTGACCCTCCCCTGCTCATGCTGTCTCTCTGTCTCTCCTAGAAATAAATTTAAAAAATATATATATTAAAAAAAAAAAAGGGAGAAGTGTGCCTTTCCTGCAAACATCCTACAATGTTTCATTCTCAAATTATCCGTGAAGAAGTCACACAGCTGAAGGAATAACTTTTTATTCCACCTCCAAGATAACAGATGAACAGAAAACTCCCCAGTGGCCCCCAAAAGACAAACCCACAGCAACACGATTCAGTCCACCCTGGCCAGCAAACTATTTATCTTCATGAGGTTCAGATGACAACAGAGAGACCAGGGCAGTGGGCAAGGCAGAGCCCTGGGCACCTTACGCCACCACTCCTAGTAATCAAAATAAGTTCAATGTCGTAGGCCTGTCCTCTCCTGGGCCTTTATCTGCCTTCTGTCAGTCACCTGTTGACTCCTGTTACCTACAGTACCCCTCTGAACCAGGCTTTCTATTGGCCCAGGCTGGAAATGCCCTCAGGCCCCCAACCAGGTAGACTGAATTAATTCCTCCTCTGCCTGCCACTGGCCTACTCTGGGATTAAAGTCAACTTCCTATCTCCCGGTGCCAGCCAGCCCTGCCTTCATGTATGCACCTCTCCATCAGCTCTCTGCTTCTTAACTTTCTAAAGAAGCTTAGGCTGCTCATCTGGTTGAAGTTCAGCCTCATTCCTTTCTGAAACCCTTAGATCACTGCAAGCTAAAACTAAGACCAGGCCTTTCTCATTCACAGTGTGAAAAGTTTTGTTGCTGTTTGCCACGCATAAATGATGCACCCTACTGAGCAAAACTGGCTTCAGGCAAACAAACTGTTAAACCCCAAGGCAGCTGTTGATATTCTAATTACCTCCCCAAACACAGATCCCAGTTAGGTAGTACATATTTTGCATAGGCTCCAGTACAGACCCACAAATATTTTGTTAATGTACATTTGCATCTTGGTAATACACGTAGCTATTTTAATACCGTAACAGACGAATTCCCTCCATGAAAGGGCTGATACACTGAGCCCCAAAAAGGGACCGGCTGCACTGTAACTAACGAGAAAAGTGAATTTTATAAAACAAAAATCTAAACAGAGAAGAAAACTGTGCTTTTGGCTACGGGGTTCACCTGCCGCATACAAGCCAAGGATGCACAGAGACAGAGATTTAAAACACTTTCATCTCACAAGGAGGAAAGGAAATGTGCGCGATTTTCAGAAGCCCTCTAACTGTCACCCCAGGAACGGAGCTGAGTTTGAACGACCCTCCCTGCTAATCACAAAACTGGCGTTCCCTACACTACAAGCCTGCTTCTACTTCCCTCTGACTGCAAGCAGGGAGTCTTTGGAGACTATTTATGAATGGTACAGGGCACCCGGCAGTCTGGCCTTCATTAACTGTACCCCAAGGCCAGGAAGGAGGGATTAGTGGTACATCAGGAAGAGCATGGTTCTGAGAATGTCGTTATCCTACAGCCAAATTCTTGTCCATTTCTGTCTTCGCCAAACTTGTTCACAGAACCCTCAAAGTCTCTGACGTTTCATGCCAGTTTCAGGTCAATCGCCAAAGTAATGATTTAACACTATACCCTCTGACAAAATCTTCTCCTGTGGAGGCAGGGCTGGACCCAGGGCTGGAAGTGGACTCTCTGCAACTCAAGTTGGGACCACCCAGGCGGGGCAGGACAGGGGGACAAAGTAGGTATTTGACAGTGCTGAGTCATTACAAGCTGTTTCCTCTGATATGCGAGGCACCCCTGGGCGTCTGAGCATTAATATCCCCTGTCAGAAGGCAAATGAAATAGATGCACACAGTGCAAAACGATGCGACCCCCTTGCGGGCGAGAGACCTCGGTGGGGAATCAAGGTCTTAAGCACGGGTAGCAGGAACTGACAAACTCGCAGCTGTAACTTTATCCCAGACGCCGAAAGATGGCTATTGGGATACGGAGAGGGAATATTCCCCTTGCAGCCCAGTAACGTATCAGGGCCACACTCGGGCGCATTTTACTCCAAGCTGTTAAATCTCCCCCCCCCCCCCGCCCCGTAATTGGCGCATGGAGAAAGCGCCCGGAGAAAATGATGCATAATGGATTTGTTCTCGAGGCGGATGGAATGGAGAGCGGAGGACGCAGGATGCTCAACTGGCTTTTCTTCCCATGTGCAGGTCACCTGAAACCCGCGATGCCTGCCTCTCCAAGGGGGCTCCTGAACTCACCCTCCGGCTGCGCCTTCCCGGCGGGGAGGCGAACGGTTCCACGGCCACCTGCCCGCCGCCTCTCCTCCCCGGGCCCCCCAGGCCCCCGCCGGCCGCGCGAGCAGCTGCCGGCATCCGCGGTCCCGCCGGCTCCCCGCTCGCTCGGCAGCCCGGGCCGGCAGCTCCCCCGGCGGCCGCCGCGGCACCACTCGCCAACCTCCGCGCCGGGCCGAGGTCATGCCCGCCTGCCCCCGGGCCCCGGGCGGCCCCCTGCCCGTGCCAGCCGGCCGCCCGAGCGCCGGGCCGGGGAGGGGGCCCCCACGGCGCAGTTGGCACGGGGACTCACCAGGTAGGCGCCCACCGTGCCCTGCGCCAGCATCAGGGCGCACTCGGACACCAGGAAGATCTTGATGTTGGAGAAGCAGGACACCTTCTTTTTCTTCTTCTTGTTCCTCTGCGCCTCGTCCCCCTGCAGCTCGCCGCTCCGGCCGCCGCCCGACGAGCCGCCCGGCTTCTTCCCCTGCATCCTTCCCCCGCCGCCGCCGCCGCCGCCGCTTTCCCGCTCGCCCCGGGTGTCGGGGCCGCTGCCGGGCGGGGGTGCGCGCGGCGAGGCTGCGTGCTGTCCCCGCCCCGGGCCCGCGGCGGCCGCCCCCGTCCTGCCGGGGCTGGAGAGGTGGAAGGCACAGCTCCTCGCAGCCACCGCCGCCGCGCGCGCTCGCCCCTTCCTCCTCCTCCACCACCTCCTCCTCCTCCTCCTCCTCCTCCGCCCTCCCCGCGCCGCCTCCTCCTCAGGCTCGGGCTGTGCCAATCACAGGGGCTCTGCGCGCCGCCCGCCGCCGCCTCGCCGCCCGCGGACGCCCGCCGCTGCCATCGCGCGCTTCCCTTCGCCTCCCCTGCGTCTGCCCGGAGGCCGGGCCGCCCCTCGCCGCCAGCGCGCCCTCGGGGAGGCGCGAGGGGGACCGGCTCCGGGCGCGCGCTCGGGGAGGGAGGGGGTGCCCAGGAGGGAGGAAGGCGGTGCCCCGCCCCTAGATGGCGCTGCCGGGCACGGGGCGCCGCCGCGGGCGCTGGGCGGTGCTGCGCGAGGAACTGGGGGCGCCTCGCTGGGGTGCGCGGGCGCCCCCGCGGGCCGGGGACCGAGTGCTGCGGCTTCGCGGCGCTAGACGGGAGGGGAGGGGTGGTTTCTAGGAAGAGGGCGAAGACCGAGTCACCCAGGAAGGGGTGGGCGCGCTCTCTCCCCCTCCGCCCGGGTATTTCTGGGGACAGATGTTGCGCCCGGGGTTTGGGGAGGTGCCAGAGGTCAGAGCTGCTGGCGGCTTCCGCAGCCCGCCGGCCCCTGCTCCGGCTCCCCCGGGCCGACCGCAAGGAAAGGAAGCTCTACTGGAGGGAAGTTAGAGTAATCCTTTGAGAACGCACAGACTATCAATCGCCCCCAGGCCGCGGTGTCTAGGTGGCTGCAAGGTCGCAGCGACCCCAGCAGAGGGCCTTGTCCATTCTCCATCTGCCTGGAGTCCATCCTCAGGAATGATGCAGCCTAAGAAGCTGAAGTCAGCGGGAAGCGATTAGCCACAGGCCTGCCTTGGTACCCACCCCTCCCTTAGTATTGTGGCCCGCGCTGCCTTTCGTGGTCTTGGCCCGAAAGCCCAAGCCCCGAGGCAGCCACTCTTTATAATCATTACCAGGAGTTTGGGCCACAAGGCAGCACCATTTGGATCTAGTGGTCCCGCGACTTTTGGAAGCTGAGAGAAACTGGAAAGGACTGGATCAGCACCGGGAAGCACTCAACAACTTCTGCCTGGGCCATTGTGGGGCTCAAACAATTATTTACGAAGCCTTTAGTTAATAATGGGTCAAAGAAAATGTGCCATTCTCCTAGGCTCCTGTGTACAGCGCAGGCTTAAATTTGAAACTGAAGAGCAATTACACAACCATAATGTTTACTTCCTCCCAAAGAACCTGAATGGGACTGGATGGTGGGGGTGCCATCTTGCCATGCCATTGAAATAAAAACGGCTTCATCCTCTGGTTCTAGACATGATCTCACCTAGACTTGGTGTCCTTTTCAGATGCTCTCCTCCCCTTGTCTTGGCTGTCTGCTATCTGAATTGGCTCCCCCAAACAGAGGTCTTTTGCCATTTTCCCCCAATTCCTGTCACCTGGGGCTGCACCATTTCCGAAGAATCTGTCACCTTCCTACGGCCTCTTTCCAAACCCTACCCCCCATGCTGCCTCACAGCTGACTTTTCTCCTGAGTCCTGCTTCTGAAGAGCTGGGGCCTCTCCCAGCTTCTCTCCACTGAGAAGACCTTTGATGAGCTAGCTCCCTTCCTGTCTCTGTGGCTTTATGCTGCAAAACTGAGATGTTTACTTGTCCCACTGCTGTTGAAACAGCAGAGTGCATTATAGTCTATAAGTGTCGTTTATATGCTTCGTAATGACAAGAGCTAATTTTTTAAGTGTATTCATTTTGAGAGGGGAGGGGAGGGGCAGAGAGAGAGAGAAAATCCCAAGCGGGCTCCGTGCACACAGCCCGAAATGTGACTCCAACTCACGAACCATGGGCTCATGCCCTGAGCCAAAATCAAGAGTCGGATGCTTAACTCGCAGAGTCACCCAGACGCCCCCAAGAGCTAATGTTTATTGTGTGCTTACTCTGGCCAGTCCCCATTCGAAGTGCTTCACCTGTGTTTACAACTGAATCCTCACAACTATCCTCTAAACTAGGTACTATTATTAGACCATTTAGCAGGTCAGAAAACAGGAGCCCAGAAAAGGTGACTCACCTTACCAATGTCACATAGCCAGTCAATGGCAGGACTAGCCTTTGAAGCAAGTCCAGGTTCTTGATGACTCCCTATCACCCAGTGGTGTGTCTCTTGGGGGCAAGGGAACATTTCTACTTTATAAATGGAGACTCAGAGATATATACTGACTAGCCCAGCATCACACAGCTCAAAGGAGACAGGACTTGAATCCAAATCCAGCTCTCTTCACTCTGTACCACACTGACTTATGTGTAGTTCAAGAGGGGCACAGACTTTATTCAGTTTTTTGTCATTTATTTTATATAAAAACTTAACCATCCTTAAAGAAATCAAATACTTTTTTTTCTTTTTTTTTAAATATTTTTATTTATTTCTAGGAGAGAGAGAGAGACAGCGTGAGCAGGGGAGGGTCAGAGAGAGAGGGAGATACAGACTCTGAAATAGGCTCCAGGCTCTGAGCTGGCAGTCAGCACAGAGCCCGACGCGGGGCTCGAACCCATGAACCGCGAGATCATGACCTAAGCGAAAGTCGGACGCTTAACCGACTAAGCCACCCAGGCGCCCCGAAATCAAATACTTTTTTAAAAAGTTTAGTATTTATTTTTGGGACAGAGAAAGACAGAACACGAGTGGGAGATGGGCAGAGAGAGAGGGAGACACAGAATCCGAAGCAGGCTCCAGCTCTGAGCTGTTAGCACAGAGCCCGATGCGGGGCTCAAACTCATGAGCTGTGAGATCATGACCTGAGCTGAAGTCGGATGCTTAACCAACTGAGCCACCCAGATGCCCCAAGAAATCAAACACTTTTGCTGACAGAGAGAGGACTCCAGATTAGGGTTGTAGCTTCTTCATATGATTAACGGTAAGCAGCCATGAAAAGAATGTTGTGGCTAAAGCCTTAAAGAGTGATCACAGTCAGAGGGAAGCAAATCAGGTGTCAGCCTCAACAACCATCAGTGGGAATCGAACACGTTTAATTTCCTTCCCTTGTTGCTCATCCTATATTTACCTGTAGATCGGGGCTCCAGGGTTGAGGAGGTGGGTTTATGAGCAGGTGCTCATGCTTGGCTTCTCTTCTATGCAGAGGGAGCTGCAAAGGAGCAGGACCATCTTCATATCTGCATAGCACATGACTGCTGAGTATGTTAATACCCTGTGTATCATCCAAATCTCCCAACAGGGAGCGCTGTTCTTATAAGCCCTATTTCGCTCATGAGTAAGAGCAGCAAGTGGCTTTTAGGAGCTTACGGCTACCGGCTACCGAGTGGTGGGAATTGAAAACTGCATTTTCCACCCCAAATTGGTGGGAGCACCCAGGAGGAGGGGGGAGCACCCAGAGGAGCTCCCACCCTCCCATGAACTGTTGCTTCCCCTTCTAACCAGCCTCCAAAATGGATCATTGGTCATCCTGTGGCAGGCAAGGCAAACAGCGCTTAAATCCCACCCAATTCCTCAACTGGACAACCTTAAATGTTCCCTTGGAGCAATGCCATAGCCACCACTTCCAGCCTGGACCCTTTTTCATCACATATTCCCCTTAGTGGTGGATGGTGAATTCAGGAACGGTAGACATTACAAAGGCCTAGAGGATCCTTGCGATTATTTTGGCCTCTCTACTACTTTTCTTGCCTCGGTTCTAAATCGAGCTTTCCTAAACTAGATGGAAATATTGCTAGCTAGGCCCGGGGTTCCAACACTCTTTACTTTGTTGGCTACTAGAGGTATTCCAAACAGTGACAAGCCGTGTCATCTGGAAATGTGATGTAGGAAAGGAAGCATGCTAAAAGTCGGTAACTTGGGAAGATAGACTGGCTTTCAATTCTAAAAATATGAATAAGCCGTATATAAACGCGTGGCGATTAGGATTTGGAGAGCCTTTCTCCCCCACTTTGGAAAGGACCATCAATTCATTTGTGTGGGAGAGAAGTGGGTTAACTTCATGGCCATGAGGGAGAAAAAAATGACAATATCTTTCACTGTTACTGGGCTGTGGCAACATTTCCCAGCAAGCAGCCTCAATGTAATTCAACACAATGAGAAACTGTTGTTCAAGTAATTCACATGAACCATCCTTTGCCAGCTTCAATTTTGTTCACAGGCAAATACAAAGTTGAAAAATAAATGCAAAGAATGATGTCTGATTGTCACTGGGATGGAAAATAAGTGCTTATATTCTCACCCTATGGATGGATTTTTTTTTCCATTTTCTGAAAATACAACAATCGTGTATTGTGTCCAACCAAGGATAGAATTGAGGCTAGGCCAACTTCTTTGGCTTGAAACTAATATTTGGGCTCAGTTGAAGCTTCTTTTCTCTTTCTCAGAGTTTTTCTCTCCCCACCCCCACTTTCCAATTAGGCTGATCCATATGCCTTTCTATCGTATAGCCTGTGTTTGCCGCTTACTATATTCAGAGCTCTGTATTTTCAATTATGTCTCTCAATTTGAATAGATCAGCAAAGAAGTGAAAAGGATAAACATCAGTGTAGATGCAATTTTAAAAATGTGAAACCCAAATCCAACTGGAGACAAGGAAGAAAGGCAAAAAGAAAGAACATCCACAGAAATTGGACAACCATTAGGGGAAACTTGGGATTTAGAAATGTGTTTCATTTGTGGAAGATGAGCCTTGAGATAAAAAACAATACAAATGATAAACATTTACCAATATTGATGTATTCGGGGAATTCATCGTTGGCTGCCTTCAATTGATTTGTGGGTACGTAGAAAGTGTTTATCCAAATAGACTTAGTTTCTTAAGAGCAGAGTGTTTTGCTTTAAAAATAGAGGATCATTTGTCCTGCTCAGTGTCTAATAGGCCTCCTGCCCAGAAGCTTAATATTTATGACCAGTACAGGAAAATGACCCAGAAGGTGTCAAGGTTTATAGAAAACTTCCTTCCAGGGATTCTCCCCAGGGATCTGCCCCTCCATCCCTAAGACATCAAGGCT